TGGCAGAGAAACTGTTTTTGGAGCATCTCAGCTCGGCTGATGAGAAGGGAGATGCTAAGAGTACTTTTTAAATGAGCAAGTCCCGAATAAGTGCCAGAATGTTCCAATGATTGGCTAGGATCAACTACCATATCAATAGCTAAAACTATCTGTTGGTCAAGAAACCAATGACTGAAAGGGTGTTGCAACCCTTGGTTTCCAAGATATCGAGTGGTGCAACAAAATATATGGACAACATTGGTGATTACCAATAAGCCACAGTAACTATGCCATTTGTTTGGGGAAGAAATCAATGACTGAAAGGTTTTTGTGATATTATTTGGTGTAATTTTGTGACTACCACTTGATTATCACATCTTAAGATGTCTGTCGCCAGTAGATGTAATGCCTAGAATGTCAACAGTTTGCACTACTGGATATGTTTACAAGGAGTTCAAAATCTCTGTCAATAAAGCATTTCAACTCTCTCTTCCTGAGTTATGGAGTGATTTTAAACAGCAAAACGATTGTCTGACACTTTGTGAAAGTCGGTTTCACACTTAGTCGAGTGGAATAAACCATAGAGTGCTAAATATATTCTCACCAATACACTTAAATGTGTTTAACTCCTCTATGTGTAGTGAAGGAGTTATGTTTTTTTACCTGCAAAGAAGATTGGTCAAAGAAGATTGAATCTTAACACATTGACTTTGCCTCTATTTACTTTTACGTGTTGCCAACTGAAGTGAGTGAATCGACTTATGTAAAGCAATACAATATCCCGATGGTCAGCAGTTGGAGGCCATACTTGACAGTAAAAACATGTTTAATGTGGATAGCTGTTTTTAACTAAATTTGTTGAAAGAATGTATTGATATACAAGGTAGTGACAAAAGAAATATTAATTCTGGCGACGATATTATTAGCTGTAAAAGTCTAATTTAAGCTAGATTATACTGTTAAATGTTTATTTTGTGATGCCTATAAAAGATTGTTGAGTTGCATTACTCGCAGATGTGGCACGTTGCTGAACCATGAATATTAATGTACAGTTCATGGATATAGCTCGAGACAGTTACCATGGTAATGGCACACAAACCTGAGGCAGTCTTTTCACAGCTACTAGTGTATGTGATGATGTGCGTGTCTTTTTCTTGTAACAAAGCCACTTCGGGCTATCTGAAGTAAATCGAACCCCTGATTTTAGCATCGTAAATCCCAGCGGGGTGTGACGATGTGCAGAAATTTATAAATATGTATATTGCAATATATGTATGGAGACATGTGTGAAACTGAAATAATTCAAGGAGTATTTTATGAATATTTTCTTAACATTATTTCTCTTCAAGGTGCAGTTGTAATGCATAAAGATACAAATTGTAGACGTTTTACCGGAAGCGAGAAAAATGCCTTCTTGGTATGACATTGCAATTGCTCTTCTGTGTGTCATGCTTGTATCTGCAAGGAGTCGAGTGAGAGTGATGTTCACCCTATTTTGATTACTAGTGTGGGTACCTAACTATGCAGCTTCGCCATTCATTTCTTTCCTTCTGGACCTGGACTGTTTTAGTGTGAAAACAAATGGTAATGGAAGAAATGGTGATCTTGGAGTGTTCATCTAGAATTCCGAAATCAAGGACGAGATCTGAGGAATCCTGTGTTTACTGAGCTTTCCACAGGTAGTAGGATCGTATTGAACAGGCAAGACATCTCTGTAGACATGGCACTTGACCGCAGACCAAAATTTTAGCATCCTGCTCCTAAGAAGTACTTTAGTGCAGAATATTTCTGCAACTGGACTGTTGCAACTTTAACCTATTCTTTTGACTATACTTTTCTGACTGATCAAAGTTTTCTATTTCAATCAAGTTATTAACCATTCTGACTATCTAACTAACCAATTGCAACCCACTATTCTCTGTATGTTGTATCAAGACCCAATAAATTGTGCAACAAATGAAAACTATGGTGAGAGTTTTAGTTTTGGTTATTTTCGGGATGTAATGGAGTATCCCACACTTCCAGTCACTACAGGTGCTGGCCTCACCTCTTCTCAGCAGAACCGAGGAATGGAGGTGCATTGCTGGTTGATATATCTGACATGTATGCAGTGACCAAAGCCAAGAAGCCCAACATTTTTCAGTTGACACTGCAGCCCATCAGGTTAGCCACAACTGAGAATCCAGTCAGACCAAATGTGTATTGACTGATGTTTCGTTTTTCTGTAAAAGGGTGTTTGCGGATTGGTTTATAAAGGTTGCTTTAATATAGATTTAAATGTTTTAAGTGATTTTAAAAATAACTAGTTTTCTTTTATATTTTGACTTAGCAAATTTAGTAAATTTTGAATTTAATTCTGCTTGAAAACGTTTACGTAGTTTCATTATGCTGAAGCTTTTTTTGTTGTTCTTATTTTGATATAAGTTTATCCACATTAGAAGGGATATTTCTTCGTGTATTTTATCTACTTGCGAGTTAAAGGACTTGTTGTTTTTATTTTTGTATCTTATTTAGGTATTTGTGCGTTAGCAGAATTTCGTTTTTATGTATTGGTTTATGCTCAAACGTATTTTAGTATTGCTTTGCATGTTATTGTTAGCTACCCCCCCTCACAAAGGAAGAAGGTAATCTTTGTATTAAAATAAGTTTCTTGTTTTCTTGTACGAGTATTGTGTTAGCTATCACCTTCTTAAGAGGATAGATCTTTCTTAAATGTATTTGTTTCATTTAAAATTGTTTTGGTCAGTGTGTCTAGGTGTATTATTGGGCAAGTGTTTTTACTAAGGCAGAGATGAGTTATTTAAATTTATTGATAGGTACCTGAGTAACTTTTGATTATTATTTGTTGGTGGTTTATAACTAGGAATAGCCTGGTTGCCCTGGATATATATTCATTAAACTTATTTTCATGATGTCCAAAAATAGACTGCTGTCTTTTCTGCCAGTGAAACAAGTAATACACAGGGACACAGTTTGGCGGCCATATTGACCGTATTTATTTTGACGAGTAAACAAGGCAGTACGTGGCTTTTGACAAGGTATGATGAAGATGCTTAAATATTTATCTGTAAGCCTTCAAATCACTTTGTTATGTAAAGTTATTCGAAAAATTTTGTAGCTTCATGTTAACTTTATGGAATCATTATGATAACAGATCATTGAAGCCAATAATTACTTGTTACACTATATTATCACCCAGTAATTATAGACCCATTAATCTTACATCAATTGTGGGAAAAGTTTTGGAATGTTTGATAAAGGATGCTTTGCTAAGTCATTTAACAAAAATTCAAATTTTATTGGATAGTCAACATGGTTTCACTGAGAGAAAATCTTGCCTTACAAATATTTTGACATTCTTTGAAATGGTTACTGTTTATGTAGATAATGGTAAGGATGTAGATTTGATGTATCAGGATTTTCAGAAAGTATTTGACAGTATTAAAGTTAATACACTGGTAAGGCTATTCCCATCCAAATTTTACTTATAATTCACATTATGATAACCCACATGCATTATCTTGTATTTATAATAACTAAATCCAATTTGCCATTTATTCACCCAACTGACTAAATGATCTATATCCTTTTGTCAAGCAGCAGCACCCTCTTCACAGCTAGCAACACCCAAGACCTTAATATCATCAGCACATTTAAGTCATTTATTGATCCTTCTTCATCTTTGTCATTGATGTAAATCAAAAAGACCAAATGACCTAATGCTGAGTCCTGAGGTACCCCACTTGTGACATTAATCCAATATGACTGAATTCCATTTATAAGAACCCTCTGCTTTTTTCCATCCAGCCATTCTTCTATCCAATTAGCTCAGTGATCTCTCACACCTCTAGAGATATTTTTCAACCCTTTTATGTGGCACTTTGCTAAATGCTTTCTGAAAATCCATATACACCAAATCTACACCTTTAATCTTATCTACATAAGCAGTAACCTTTTCCTATGTTTGTATTTTATCCTGGTTTAAGTCCTAGGTACTGTAAATATATTCTGAAACATAACTGTTAGAATATAATGAGAAGGGGCAGCTCGAAATTATATGGAATAGGTTTGTTCATATACAGCCAGCTGTAAAGTATAGAGCTGGTTATTAACTCTAATATATGTTTTAAAAGCTTCTATTATCGCCCATAGAACTGTAGTTATCCAACTTATTTTACTCTTAAAAGGGGTGAGGTTTGATAAGTTATATTTGTGTGTGGTTCTCTATATTTAACCTCCTGATAACTCATGTAATGTCTGTAGTAAGGGGTAGAATGGATGAAGAAAATCTGCTTTGTTTACTCGTCTCGTTCTCGCGACAACCTTGACACACCATATAAGGAAAACCGTATCCCTGTGTATAGCTCTAGCTTCCTTGTCCATATGCGCGAGAGTTTCTGGAGTCATGTGAGTAAAGTGTGAGCCGCGAGAATCTTGTTTTTGCTTATGTTTATTTTTGTATGTAAACACCAGGTTCTCTCTTGTTATTCATGATTTGCAGAAATTTTCAGATTTATTGAGACTTGAGACTTTTACAGCTTAGTTTGAGAATAAACTTAGGTTCTTCTTTTTAACATTTTATTTTTGTTTTCGTATAGGGAAGCTAATACTGTACTGGTAAGATTAAAAGTTCTCTCACACTATCTCTCTTTTCATTTTCACAAACATACAGCAAATAGTTGCCCGCGTTTTGTTTTTTACTGTGGCTGTGTTTGTTTAATAAAGAATTTGATTGTGTATTTTCATTCAGTCCCTTTCTTTGCAACAAATTCAGTCGGAGTCAAGGAAAGACATACCCATACTCCATATTAAAGTATTTGTCGGATCGACAGTTTTGCGGGCCCTACCCATTTACTCGAAGGGAAATTAGTGTAACTGAGGATACCACATATTCTAATTTCCTTTTAAAATTAAACAGATTTTAAAACAGTTGCTAATTTATTCATTCTTCTGATTGATATTATATACTCAACATATATATTATCTAGTTTGATGTTTTATGGTTTCATTTTATCACATAGCGGCTGAAAAACATTCCAACGTCAACATTCATTTTAATCACAAGCTCGTTACCTGTGATCCGGAGACTGGGTCGATGACTTTTGAAAGGTAAAATATTTAACATATTAAAGACACATTTATGCATAAATATTTGTGTAAGAAGTGAAAGCAAGAGAATTAGAAGATATATTAAGACGTCAACTTTAAGAATGATCTGTAAGCGATTCTTCCACTTATATTATAAGAACGGAAACAAACATTTCAGAACGCTTTACACCTGTTACAAAGATCGTCATTCTCTCAAGTTGGGAAGTCTACGGTAGCCCGTATGTTATTAAGTTTATAATAAAATGTTGGAATTTCTAACATTTTAGTAATAATTTTCATATCACTGGTTTGCTCAGTGACATTTTTAAAGGCATTTAATTCAGAACCGATAAACTACCGCCATCTTAAATTCAAATGATCGTCTTCGTCATTTATTTTTCATGGACAAAATTTAACATACTGTAAGTAATGCAACAACAGAGTAACATGGGTTATTACCTATGATTCAGTAACAGTGCAAACAAAATAATTCCAGAGAGGGAGGGAGAAATCTACGCTGAACCAGGACCCTTCCTGGCCCAAAACATGGACCGAATCCCGATGAGGAAAACTGAAATTTATTTTTCATTGTTTTTGTTATCTGTTTTCGTTGTTATTGAGAGTCTCTGATTTCAGGTATCCAAGTAAAGAAATTACAACTGCTCAAGCCGACCTTATCGTTGGTTGTGACGGCGCCTTTTCTGCTGTTCGACGACAAATGCTGAAACGACCCCGTTTCAATTACAGCCAAACATACATTCCTCATGGATACATGGAACTAACGATACCCGCTACACCAGACGGCCAAGTATGTATTCAATACTCACGTGCAGTTATTTGCTAGGTTACGAGAAACTGACATACTCTAAATCTGATGAAAATGTCCGTACCCTCACGGTTAGGAGTGTTAACCTTGTATATATGTCAGATTATTCGGTCCGTGAGATATAGACTATTATGTGGAAACATGCTGAATAATCTGACACAGTCTATATCTCATGGACCAGCATGTTTCCACATAGTCATGTATTTTTGTATATACAAGGTTAAAATAATCTGACATAGTCTATATCTCACGGACCAGCATGTTTCCACATAGTCATGTATTTTTGTATATACAAGGTTAGAATAATCTGACATAGTCTACATCTCACGAACCAGCATGTTTCCACATAGTCATGTATTTTTGTATATACAAGGTTAGAATAATCTGACATACCCTACTTTACACGA